CTCCCCTCCATGTGTCCATGTGTTCTCATTGTTTAACACCCACCTATGAGTGAGAACATGCGGCATTTGATTTTCTGTTCTTATGTCAGTTTGCTGCGAATGATGGTTTCCAGGTTCATCCATGTCCCTACAAAGGACACAAACTCATCGTTTTTGATGGCTGCATAATATTCCATGGTGTATATGTGCCACATTTTCCCTGTCCAGTCTATCATCGATGGGCATTTGGGTTGGTTCCAGGTCTTTGCTGTTGTAAACAGTGCTACAATGAACATTTGTGTGCATGTGTCCTTACAGTAGAACGATTTATAATCCTTTGGATATATACCCAATAATGGGATTGCTGGGTCAAATGGAATTTCTATTTCTAGATCCTTGAGGAATCACCACACTGGCTTCCACAATGGTTGAACTAATTTACACTCCCACCAACAGTGTAAAAGTGTTCCTGTTTTTCCACATCCTCTCCAGCATCTGTTGTCTCCAGATTTTTTAATGATTGCCATTCTAACTGGCGTGAGATGGTATCTCAATGTAGTTTTGATTTGCATTTGTCTAATGACCAGTGATGATGAGCATTTTTTCATATGTTTGTTGGCCTCATATATGTCATCTTTTGTAAAGTGTCTGTTCATATCCTTCACCCACTTTTGAATGGGCTTATTTGTTTTTTTCTTGTAAATCTGTTTTAGTTCTTTGTAGATTCTGGATATCAGCCCTTTGTCAGATGGGTAGATTGCAAAAAATTTTTTCCCATTCTGTTGGTTGCTGATTCACTCTAATGACTGTTTCTTTTGCTGTGCAGAAGCTGTGGAGTTGGATTCGGTCCCATTTGTCTATTTTGGCTTTTGTTGCCAATGTTTTTGGCATTTTGGTCATGAAGTCCTTGCCTATGCCTATGTCCTGAATGGTTTTGCCTAGATTTTCTTCTAGGGTTTTTATGATGTTGGGTCTTATGTTTAAGCCTTTAATCCATCTGGAGTTAATTTTAGTGTAAGGTGTCAGAAAGGGGTCCAAAAAGTCATTTTGTGAATATTCCCTTTTCTAAAGTACTTCTTTTTAAATCACAACATTTCAAAACTCCAGATTCCCTTTGGAATTGCTAAATAACCTCTAGCAGACTTTCTGGAAGTGTAGACTATAGGTCACCCGTATCAGAATTACTTGCTTGGGTGATTATTTAACATGCAGATTCCTGGTTCTCTACCTAAACTTTTTGAATCAGAATCTCCTAAAGAAGCTTCAGGATTTTTTTAACCTTTACTTTCCAGATGATTCTAGTGCACATAAACATTATTCCCAAACAATTGAAGAAATATCTCTTATTCATCACAGAGGTGACTGACTTCATCAAAAGTGTACTTTTCAATAAGTCCCTTTAAGTGTGAGTACTTCACATATGTCAAGAATCTGAACAGTGAGTTCACTTTAACTAATAGTGGAAGCCAAGAAGATGCAATGGTAACTGAAGAGAAATGGATAATAAGAAGAAAACTTTTTTCTTAAAGTATAACTTGAAGACACTGAACATAAATATACTAGCGGATGAATTTTAAAGTATGATGTTGAAGAAGTAGAGAGTAGAATAGTGGTGACCAGAGGCTGGGAAGAGGGATGGGGAAGATGTTGATCAAAGGGTATGAAATTTCAGTTAGGAGGAATAAGCTTTAGTGATCTATTGCACAGAATAGTTACAGATAAATAACAAGGCAGTGTATATTTCAAAATTAGTAAAGGAGTAGGATTTAAATGTTTACAAAAAAATAAGTATATAAAATGATAGATTCAGTAATTAGCTTGATTTAGTAATTCCACAATGTAAGCATATATGAAAATATAGCATTGAACTACATATATATTTATTAAAAATAAGATTAAAAATAGGTATATTAAAAATATACAATAATAGCATTATATATTTTTAAATAACCAAAAGAGTCAAATTAGAATGTTCCTACCACAAAGGATAAATGCTTGAGGTGATGGATACCCCAATTACCCTGATGTGATTATTACATATTGTGTGTCTGTACCAATATATCACATGTGCCCCATAAATATACACATCTATTCTGTACCCATAATAATTAAAACTACAAAACTTAAAAATAAAAAATATATATGTAGAAAAGTGAAAAAAATTAAGTAAAAGTAAAATTAAAACTATATAAAACTAAACTTGAGAAAAAATATGCTTGTATAGATAAAGTCATCCAAATAAAATGTCTATTTATAGTTCAAAAATACAATATTGAATGCTGGCTTTAGGAAACATAAAATATATATATAAACTAGTAAGCTTATGATAAGGAATAATTTGAATATAAAAAGGAAAATGAAGCAGGTTCCTGGTGGAGAAGTGAGGTAGGAGATTGCTTGTCACTATGCAGAGGTGGGGAAAGAGGCGTGGAAAAGAACAGCATTTGAAAACAAAATAACCTTTGCACGCATTCTTTTAACCCAAGGTTTAACTAATAATATCCTGTTTTCCAGTTTAAAATTTCAGTCACAGAGAAGTTTCATGAATTGCCAAAGGTCAATCAGTTAGTCAATGGCAGAGCTAACCATATTCCAGTGATTCCAAATCTGCTGCTCTTCCCACCTAATTTTATTGCATTTTCTTTTGTTTCAAGCCTTCCAACTAGTTTTCAGCCCATCTGAGGATTTCATATCTGCCCAAGTCAATTTCAATTAATGTAACAGGGCCTTGGGAAACCACATTGTATTTTTGTGCCTTTCTTAGTATGTTATTTTCCTTCAGAATAATTACAAACTGCTGTGTTTTAATTACAGTGACTCTTAGGATGCTGCAGATTTCTTCCAATCAGTTGGCTTTTGTATTTTCTTCCTATGCCTTTTCAGCACAAGACTTCTAAACTCTCTTATCCCTGAGTGGGGGTTCCTTAGGCAGAAACCCTAACTGATAGCGCCTGTCTCCATGGTGTGATGCAGGATCACAGAAATAGGCTCTACCAAATATTAGGTGTAAATGCTTTCAGGTAGCCCTTTTTTGAAAGCATTATACAGCAGTGTTTCTTTCAAGCCATTTGGAGGCAATTTACAAGCAAAACAACAATGTGGTCTACATAAAAGTCATAACTCTGATTTCCATGTGTCATGTACATGTTGCACAACTCCGCAGATTATTCATAGAAACAAATTAGGAAAAGGAAGCAACTCTGCAGTATGCTTTGATGAAAGAATCACTGATCATCTCTTGCTTGGCTGATGGTCAGTATCTGTGTTTGTTTATAAAACATATACAGATGTTATGAAATGGTTCCTTCTATGATGTGCAAGGAAATACATGATTATATTATTAAGACAGTTGAAGCTTTTCCATAAATAACCTAAAGGCCAGATTTCTCTCCCCATTAAGAATCACTTCCCTATGCTATATTTAGAAGAGGCAATTTAGTTCATATTTATTTCTGAGGGATCATTAATTACCACTCATCTGAGATATGTAGTTTCCCCCTGTCTTCCTTGGTGTGGCACTGCCACGTCTAAAAAGGCTTCTGTAGAGCAGGAGATGGCCAAGGATGTAGTGATTGAACATGGGATAAAGCCTCACTATCATTGACAGTTCTGCCATTACCCTCTTTACTGCCACCTCACAGGGCTATAAATGTGTAACTGATTATTCTTTTTTTCTTTCCCTCTCTCAGGTTTATTTGTACAAATAGCACTGAGAACTTTGGGTTAAGTTACTGAGAACTGGGAGTTATCTATTATTGTAGCATAACCTGATCTATCTTATAACTAGAACAGATAATACAAACCTCAGGTACACGTTGATAACCCTGTGAGGTGGCAGTAAAGAGAGTAATGGCAGAACTGTCAACGCACGGGAGGATAGCACTGGAGGACACCAGGCCCATACAGACGTCAGCCCATGGAGGGTCACACCAGTCTTTCAGTCCTCATGTTGGCAGACAGAGATCTCTACTCTGAAGCCTTCGTAGGGGTCTGGGAACCTTTGGGAGCCTGAGCTGGAACTGAAGCTGGAGCTGCAGCCTGGGCTTTGGTTTGATCCTTGGCCTTTGGCCGGCACAACCTGCGCCTCTTGGCAATGTAGGCACGAGCACACTTCCCAAGCTTGAGGTGGGCAATGTAGGTAAGTCGATCCAGCTTGTGGCTGACACTCTTTGGGATATTGGACTTAACCTCCTTGGGCTTTATGAGGGCCTTGGCAGCCTCGGCACCTGCACTCATGGCCATGACGTTGTTGGCCTGCATCTTCTTTAGGCCCTTCTTGTGCTTCTTGGCAAAGTGCATGCTCCTCAGGAACTTGGGGTTCACCTCCTTTAGAGATTCGTGTCTTTGTGATTGGGTTTCTTGATGCCATTTCTGTGCCATTTTTGGGACTGGTTGTGTGTGGTGTGGTTCTTGGACTTGGCCATGTCTGCACCATAAGCCTGGCTCCCATAGCTGACTATTCTTAAGCATGAGGAGAAACCAAATAGAATTATGATATATTGTGGGGAAAAAATTGACCATCCACTTAATATTTCCATAGTCAAAAAAAAAAAATCCCAAAGGTTAAGGCTTCATAAGCAGAGTCTTGTAGCCACCCCAGTTCCTAACCTTGTTTCTTGTCCCCTGTGCTACTTTTCTTTCCAAAATATCATGCCCTTCTTTATTCCTCCACTTTTTGAGATCAATACCTACTTATTGGGAAATTTCACTGTTTATCCACAAAGGTTATCCCAAGGACACATCCTGTTAGCATTATTTTCCAAACTCTAAGCTTATTCTTCTAACTATTAAGAATAAGAAGCCAGTGTGGTGGCTCATACCTATAATCTCAGCACTGGCAGGCTGAGGAAGGAGGATCTCTTGAGCTCAGGAGTTTGAGAACATTCTGGGGGCAATAGAGTGAGACGCTGTCTCTACAAAAAATACAAAATTATCTGGGCGTACTGGCACATGCCTGTGGCCCCAGTTACCTAGGAGGCTGAGGCGGGAGGATCACATGAGCCCAGAAATTTGAGGCTGCAGTGAGCTATGATGGCACAAATGCACTCCAGTCTGGCCAACATAGCAAAACACTGTCTAAAAATAAAAACAAGAAGAAAGTATCAAGTACTAAGTTATAAACCTTAGCTTCCTCCCTTATCAACTAAGTTGCTCCCTTACCCTAAGAAATCCTGGACATGGCTTTGAATTTATTCCCTGAATTGGCCTAATTAACCTCTTAGATATTATCCTTCTTGCCAATCTGTGAGATGAACAGGCCTCATTCATACTTAGGCAGTTCCTCTAGTCTCTGAAGAGGTGGGGTTGAATTACAGGTAGGTCGTATTTATGCAGCCATAAAGGAAGAAAGGATTTAGTCCGGTGAACAGATGACAAAGTATTGGCATATTAATCCTGTATTAGTCCGTTCTCATGCTGCTAATGAAGACATACCCGAGACTGGGTAATTTATAAAGGAAAGAGGTTTAATTGACTCACAGTGACATGGCTGGGGAGGCCTCACAATCATGGCAGAAGATGAAGGAATAGCAAAGGGACTTCTCACGTGGTGCACGTAAGAGGCTGTGTACAGGGAAACTCCCTTTTATAAAACCATCAGATCTCCTGAGACTTATTCACTATCATGAGAACATCACAGGAAAGTTCCACCCCCATGATTCAATTGCCTCCCATTGGGCCCCTCCCATGACGTGGGAATTATGGGAGCTAAAATTCAAGATGAGATTTGGGTGAGGACATAGCCAAACCATATCAAATCCTAAGTAACATGAGCATTTTATGATGTTGTAAAATCACTCTTCTTTGTTTTCATTGTTTCATGAGATATGGATAAGACGATTGTGTTGGTATTTAACAAGGTTTGAAAGAGGTATGTTCAAAATTTGGTAGATTTTTAAAAATTTAAAAATAATTGTTGGGGAGAAATAGTTCTTCCCTACTTACGTGGCCTTCTGTGCAGAGGGAATTTTATCAGTGTAAGGCTCCTGACTGCTCTGTCCCTTCATCCACTCTGCCTCAAAGCAGCTAGACTGATGTTTGGATTGGTCAATTTGAAATGAATATGATTAAGTTTAGTACCTCTGTCCTTCTTCCTTTGGGAGTGAGCTGCCTACATGATAATCCTTTTGCCACCACTCTGTGGGGTCAGCCTTCTCCCCATCTGCAGGAGGCAGCTCTCACCTACTTACCCTGAGTTCAGTGGACAGTAATGACACCCAACCACCTTGTTCTGAGTTGTGTCTTACAACTTAACCTTTAATAACTCAGCTCTTACCTCTTCACTTCCTGTGTCTTATTTTTCTAGATGTTCATCACTTTAACTGGGAAAGGAGATACTGTGTATTAGACCCCCAGCCCTCAAAACTCCGACTACAGTGAACACTAGGCTACACAATGGGCATAAAAATAAGAACTGTTGATTGTTTTTGCAAGGTTAGTAGTTTGTATTAGGTAGAAGAAAGGGTGGGTGAATCTTCTTTCCTTCAAGGAGCATATAATCACACATAAACGGTTAGAAGCAATAAGAGAGGGTCTGTAGGCCTTAATGAGTGGAGCAGACAGAACTAAGGAAAATTAGAGGAAAAAGATACTGGCTGGAAAGCCTAATAGGGAGGTAAAATTTCAGCTGAGCCCTAAGGAAAGGGTGGTACATGCATTCCAAAAAGTGCAGTGTTCTATTAATGGAAAAGTAAGCACATCAGGCTGGTTCTGTTGCAAATATATATTTATAATTACTTCCTGTAAGTAACTGAAAAGTCTATCATTACACTAAAAAATGTAAAACCTTCTATAAAACCGAGGTCATAGCAGCAGCTGCAACATCAGCATGTTCTGTCTCACTCTGCAGAGACAGCACAACTTCCAGTGCTATTCACAATGGACTTGGGAGAAATTTGGCATGAAATAACCATGATATTTAATGAAGAAAACAAACCTCTGAAAGTTGACGCAAAAGCTGAGGTCTCTTCCGAGTAACCACAATGGACATGCTAACCAAAGATGGGACTAACTCTGAGAACTTAAAGCCAACAAGGGGAGTTGGCTGCACCTGCATCAGAACAAAATGTGGTGGTTGGTCCCTGACCCGGCATAAGACAGGAAAGTCACCTGCGTGGTAGAATTGTGGGCACCAGCACACACTTCACTCAGGTGAAGCCTCAGTGAGAGCCCTCCTGTCCTGTCCTGCCCTATCCCATCCCATCCTGTCCTGAGAGATGGAGGCTTTTAGATAAGCAGAGGGAAGAGGGGAAGACCCCCAGCACTTGGAGGGAGAATAAAAACCTCAGGCAGGAAAACATAAGAGGTACTTAGAGAAGACAGGGCAGGAGGGTAGAAATCTTGATGTCTATAAGCCTTGGTTGACTTTGAAGATTTATCTTTTAATGCCATTATCTCATGTTAATTAATAATGGCAACTTCACTTTCTGTCTTCATGGCATTGTGACACTGCCTTTCAGAAACCACAGTGATGTTTACAGATCTGCTTTTGCCTGGTTTTTCTATGAATAAACTGTGCGCTGAGCCAGCCACAAACTGACTCAGGCCTTCTTATGACCAGTACCAGGCACTCACACTGCTGTTGGCCAAGAGCTTCCTATGGCTGCACAGCAGAGTCAAATTAATACGAATGCCATCCTTACATTTGGGAGACAGGCTAACAGTTTACAGGCTCCAGAGCACTTTCACATCTCTTCACATTTAATCCTCGGATCACATCTAGTGTTCATCAGGCACAACTGGAAGGCCACGTGCTAGTGGACCACATCTGGAATAGCCTGTGTTTGGAGAGACATCTGGCACTCTCCCCCATCACCTTCCTTCTTCTCTCCTCAGAGAACTTGGGATATGGAGTCAAGACACCTGGCTTTCAGGCCCAGATCTTCTATTAACTGACGAGGGGCTTGTGGGCAAGCTCACGCCACTTATCTGGGTATAATTGCGTACTGGGTGATTTCTAAAGTAGAAGTTCTTCCTGCTCCAAGATACTATTATGCTGTGACAATCTAGAGAAGTAGACAGTGATGATATTGATACTTTCCTTAAAAATGGGACCCTGTTATTCAGAGAATTTAATGACTCCTCCAAGATTACACAGATGGTAAGCAGCAACATCTCTAAATGTTTCATTTAGTGTTTTTTCCACTATGTCGCACACGTGTGTGAGCACAATGTGGATTAACCTTGACCTGCTTAGCTCTAGCTCAGATAACCAGATGCAGATGGAGGAATCCATGCTTTCAGCGAAACTATATTAATTACTTGGACAGTATGTGGCTAAATAAGATTCCACAAACTGACAGCTTGCAGACAGAATTTGTCCTGAAGTTCTGTTTTATTTGAACCCTAGAGTGTTTTATTTAAAAAATTTGACATGTTGCTATATTTTAAATTGGGGATATTTACATAAAAATCCAAAATTTCAAGTTCTCTTAAAAAGCCAAAAGATTTGGCAACATGGCAATAATGGGCTGAAATGGGTTCATCATTATATTGTCCCTTCAGTTAGTATTTTCCTACTTCCATACTGTTGACATTTGGGGCTGGATAATTCTTTGTTGTGGAGAGACTGTCCTGTGTATTTTGGGCTGTCTAGCAGCATTCATAGCCTATACTTACCAGATGCCAAAAGCACCTACCCCTCTGTTGTGACAATCAGTGTGACATTGCCAAATGTCCTTTGGCTGGGGGGCAGAAAATTTCCTTATGTTGAGAATGATTGCTGTAGGCATTTGAATAGGGATCCTTGGGAAACAGAAGAGCTAGAGAAGATGTAGTCAGATGCTCTCAGTTTACAGAGAAGGAAACTGAAGCCCAACCAGAGAGGTTAAGTAACTTGCCCACAGTGACACAACTGGAACAATGGTGACAGACCTAGGACTGGAACCCGGGTTCTCTGACGCCTTGTGCAATGCACTTTTTACCTTAACCTGCTTCCAAAGCCCTCACCTGTCCACTGTGTGGAAGGACGAGTACATTAATTTGCTAATTTCCTACCCACTTGATTTTCTGATCATGAAGGTCTGACCGCTGCTTTCCCTTTTGTAAGTGTGTCAGAGTCAAACAGAGCAGCCCTCCATTCCAAGGGAGCATTTTCTGGATACAGGCCGCCCATATTGTTTGACTCAGATAGGAAGGGATGTTGCATAAACACTTACCTTATTCTCTGATCCAGTCATTTATGTAAGATTGTCCTCATCCCAGCCAATTCAGATCATCAGTCTCTTTTGCATTCTTGAATCAACATTTCCTCTGAAGCCGCTTAGAAAGTGTGCAGCCAGAAACAAATGTTTGTGTGAAGTCATTTGTCACTCTGCAAATTCCTTAGAAATGTGGTTATACAACAGTTGGATATCATTGATATGCTTGGAATTTGTTTCATCATCTCAGAACTCATCCTTTTTGATAAAAACAATTTTAGAAAACTATTAATGATTTCTCACAGGAAGTATTTTCTTTTCACAATAATAAATTCCTCTGATGTGAGAAAGTACCTACCAGGCTCACTGGACCAGAAGCCCTGAATGCTTAGTTTTCAGTTTTAGCTCTGCCACTATCTAACCTGATGGCCTAAACAGGGCCATATCTTTCTCAATGGTGTTTGGGCGACCACTAAGATCCCTTGACACTCTCATATGGATCATATTAGAGTCTGTTAGAGTCCTTGTGAGCTTTCTCCTATTACTGAGTCTTGTTTTACCTGGTTTGACTGCTGAAGTTTTGACAGAAAAAGCCCAGAACACACCTGTTGTAAAATGTTATTTATTTACCAACTTACAGTGGGACCAGCCCACAGGTTAATTCGAAGTTTTTCTAGTTGTCAGTGAAATATCTTAGTTAGAAAGTAACGTGCCAGACAGTAAAATAATTTTAAAATCTGCTTTGTGGGTACAGTAAGTCTCCCCTTATCCAAGAGGGAAAAGTTCCAAGACTGCCAGCGGGTGCCTAAAACCATGGATTGTAGGAACCCTATCCAGCACAGTTCTGTTCACGTCCACCCACAAATTTAATACCTTTTTCATCCTAACTAAGCACTTATCATGTTCTGTGGCCATAGCTTTTCAGTTTAAAAGGCAACAGCAAAACTAGCACACATTTTTTTCCTCTTCACAATTTAACAGATAGATTTGTTCTTAGATTTCAGACTTCAGCATACAATTCCTTTTTTCTTATTAAGTTGAGAACCTCCTTGTTTTCATGTAAAGCAGACTCTTTATGGCTTCTCTTTGGCGTGTCCAAATTGTCAGCGTCACTATGCTTGTGGTTGGGGCCATTATAAAGTAACATAAGGGTCTCTTGGACACAAGAACTCTGATACTATGACAGCAAATCTGTTAATCAGGAATTCTACTAAGTAAATCACCGACAGGGAGGGTAGACAGCATGGAGACGCTGGACCAAGAGAGGATTCACATCCTGGGTAAGGTGGGGAGGGAGGGCACACAGTTTAAAACTTATGAATTGTTTATGTCGGAATTTTTCATTTAATATTTTCAGACCATGGTTGACCCCAGATAACTGAAACTACAGGAGTGAGAACACAGGCAAAGAGTTACAACTGTATATGCTTCTTGGGTGTCCTACTGAGTGTCAGAATCACTTGAGAATGCAATGATGCAGGAATCAACCTCCTCCTGCCTCCCACTCCCCTTAGATCTCCCCCTCAATCTGGTAGGACTTTTCATAAATTGTGACCTGAAATTTACGGAGGGCTGTTGTGTGACCACTCACCACTGCAGCCACATGGCCATAAATATGTTCTCGTTTTCTTGTCTTCTATCCTGGCACATCTCTCTCTCTGGCACAGTGTCCGTCCACCTCAGCTTCTGATTGTCTCTTTCTTTTGAACTTGATAGGGGATCGGCACATGAAAGACAGGTGGCTAGAAAGCATAACAGAATTGCCACATATGCAGGAGTTGTGTGTCACCTCCCTTGTGTAATGTTTGGGTGGGCTTGATTATAAGGTCCATTTGAACAAGTAGAGGAGGGGAACAAGTGGGACAGAGGCTCAGATGCATGAATAGTGTGTTAAGGAAGCTGCAATTTGGACTCACCCAAGACACACCAGATTCTCAACATAGAGCTGTAAGACTCCATGCTAGAGAAATCCTGATCAGGATTAGTTGAGGCATTGGGCAAGGCTGGACCTATGGATAAAGCCTTCAGTACGCAGAACTGAGCAGGTCTAGGAGGCCAATACGAACAATTCACTTCATCTCCTAACCTCAGTCATTCATAATCTGACCCTTATTGTAAGTCTCTGTGTGAAGAGAGACTTTTGTCTTTTTACTAAGAAGGAAATCAAATTGCCTGACTTAAATTTTTGCTTAATAAAACAATGTTAACAATTACCAATTGAACAGTGACTTTATGTCAGACATTCTGCCTGTGTATTATTTTAACAGAACGTCGCAGGGAACTTTAAGGGTAATTGTTGGCTGTTCTTGTGTATGCCTTTTTACTTGCTTTGTTAATTAAAAAACTACTGAGTTTTAACTGGGCCCATGGTATTCCAGCTAAAGATTACATCTTCCACCTTGCCTTACAGATTAATGTGGCCATGTGATTAAGTGCTAGCTCACTGGATGTGGACAGAAAAGGTGTGAACAACTTGAGGTTTATGCCCATAAGGAAGGATTGTGTCTTCTCACTCCCCTTCTCCTTTCCCTCTGGCTGGAAGGTGAACATGAGGCAGGAGTTGAGAAAAGACAGTGTAGCCATGAGATGAAAGCTGAGTATTTCTGAAGATGCAGAACAGGCCAGGCGGAGTCTGGTCCCGAGACTGTGGAACCGCCCTCTCAGCTCTAGACTGATTATGTTCAGAATAGCATGAGAGAGGAATTAACACCTGCTTCTTTTAAGCCACAATTATTTTGACTTTCGTTACAATAGCCAGACCTGTTTCCTAATGGTTACTGGTTTTCATTTTGTATCCTTTGTGCAAATGAGCATCTAAGCCTCAAAAAAGACAAGACAAATAACTAATCTAAAATTGTTTCTGAAGTGGTCCCCTCATACAGCTCAAATACAATGCTTTCTTGTAGAATTTATCTCTGATATGGAAATGCTAGTGAAATCATACAGCCCTCTCCCCATACCACAGGAATGCCCAGCTCTGAACAAAGGGTACCTTTGGGAACATGTGCCTGGCTCGGTTTTCTTATGTGTGAGCCCATGTCGGGGGTAGGCAGGGATGCATTCTTTGTTCATTTCCAACCTGGGACTCCATCCACATCACAGGCCGGGTTCATGTGAAGATTAAAATAACCTACGTGGTGGTTCAATACATCATAATAATTATCACATTTTCCTAGTATCAGTATTACTACTATTTAAGGGCTTATGTTTGGAATTTCATCTATTTAAAGCAAAGTTTTAGCACCAAAATCAAAAATATGTTCCAAGGTACTTTATTTGTTCACTTAAAAGTTTTAAATATTGTATGTTAGTGAGATTTGGGTTGTGAGAGCTGTGATAGCATCTCTGATTTACTTTTTTCTCAGGGGACTGAGGGGCTACTTGTGAGATGGCAAAAAAGAGATATGGCAACCAGAATATCCCTCAGTCATCCCTGACAAGTTCTCTTACATCTTCACACAAAGTAAGAGGGCTGCCACTTCACAGTAATCTCAGCACTCCTAATGCCATTTGGAAAATTCTAGACTTGGATTAAGCACTACTCAGGCAGGACAGCTCATGGATATCTGTGAGCCATGACTTGAGGCCCATCATCTCTGAAGCTATTTCCAAGTTAGTCAGCATCATACGAACAAACAGAGGGAGAGGCAGAAAGAGAAATTTCTTTTCCTATAATGTATATGTTATGTTAACAATAGAATACAATGAAGTTAAGGGATCATGTATGAATGTAAAAGCCCCTGCATCACCACTGTGTTCAGTACTTTATGTATCACCTTTGTCTTTTCCACAATATGCTTCTTACATGTTCCCCCACTCTTGCCATAGTTACCTTTCAATTGTCAAATGTTGTTTTCTTAGAGCATCGGGGTTCTCATTTGCTAGACTTTTTTTTTTTTTGCAGTTTATTATTATTTACCTCTCTTTACTAAACTTTAGCATCTTACCTATATTATGTCCTTTTTATCAAAGTTAAGTGAAATATAGATCTTGAATTTTCTCTTTCTTTAATAATTTCTTATTGCTTGAGGAATATATTCCTATAATATTGTATATGTGACTAGGGGGCCAGATGGGACAGGAAAGGAAAATGGTTTCTAAGTGATTGAAGGCGATGCTTATCGTCTGTCAAGTCAGGACTATGAGGCCACATAATGTGGAAACAAGGCAGGTACATTTCTTCAACACTGAACATTCTTGATGGGCTACTGTATGCCACAGCCTAGGAATAAAAATTTAATGAAGGGTCTACCTGTGCCTCTGGAAGCTTATAATCTGTGGGATAGCCAAGTAACAGGAAATTTCAGAGCAGTGTGCTGGGTGCTGCCGTGGGGATAGCCACAGGGTGCTAGAGTAACAGACAGTAATGATACCCAACTTGGTATTAGGAAAATCAGGAAGGTTTTCTGGATGGAAGGGTGGTGTTTAAATGAGACCTGAGTAGAGGCTGTCCATGCAAAAAAGTGGAAAATATCATGGCAAGCTTCCAGAGATTTGGAAGTGTGGGATCACTGAATAGTTCCATGCATCTGGAGCATAGAGTGGAAGTAGCCGAGTACTGAAATCCAAAGATGGAGATGAAAGCAGAGACTGGATTAAAAAGCCCTGAGAGCCAACCTATCAGTAGGTAAGGGGAAGAGGTCAAAACAAATGGATCCAGCCAGCCTTAGAAAGATTCTCCTGCGTCAATGCTGCAGTTTGAAGCTGGATGAGAGGAAGGGAAAGAAATAAACATTTTTGAGTATGTACCATATACCAGACACTGTGCACTACCTAACCAAATTCTCACACAAATCTTTTAGAGGGTATAATTATCACCATTTATGGTTGAAGAACATGGCCTCAAAAGGTACCTTGATAGGTATCACACAGCTCATGAGTAGTAGGTCTGGGATTCAAATTCAAGTCTAATTCCAAAGACTGTGTTCTTTCTGTCCATAGCAATGACTCCAGAGCAAGAGGCCAGCCAAGAGAGAGCAGGCTTTAATGAACTGGATAGAAGCTACAGGGAGTCAGACGTGGGCTTCAGGTAACCACATGGAGGCAGGGTAACAGCTGGCACAAGACTTCCAGGACATGGGCAATGATTGGGAAGATGTGTTGACAAACTGCCCAGGTGGTGGGGCATGAGGCCCAAAGGTCAAAATTTAGAAGAATAAAAAGGCAAAATCAAATTTCTGTGTAGACGTTAACTGGAATTTGATGTGGAAGCATATAACTAGACAGAAGAGGGGAGGAGTTAGAAGAGACAGGGCCAAGTGCCATGCTGAGAGGCTGAAGCTATAGAGAATGTGGCCAAGGAAAGAGGCTCCTCGTGATGAGGTATCTGAAAGACTTTAAATAATAGGAATGTCCAATATGTAATCATAGGTTGTTTGGTTGCTGTCCTGTAAACTCTAATATTTGCCCGAATTCTCCTGCTAAATTCCATCCCATACATCACACAATTTTGTGTTTGAGACAGGTTCCAGTGGAATGTCCAAACAGGAAACGGGGAATGTTCAGTGTGGAGGGACAGGGTATACAGAAGGGGAAGCAGGCACAGAAAAGAGAGAGAGCCCATACATGGAGTGATTAGGCTCAGCCAGAGGTAGCCAGAAACACCATAAACAACCTGCCCACATGTCAAAGATAAGCAGAGAGTTTCAGAGGGTTGTTAAATGGCTCACCACATAAGGAATGAGAACGCAAAACAATTTCATTTCAATCCTGAAAGGGCAAGTTGACCTCAGCTGATGTGTGGCTTATGAAAAGAAGATATTTCTAATAGAGCTCCTCAAGGATTAAGTAGGCAACCTTGGACAGCAGTTAAGTTTCCACCCCTGGTAATATGTAGTCAAAAAGGACACAGACTCAGGCATGGCAGTTGTAGGACAGATTCAGGTGTTGGATGGGGACAGACTGCATAACCCATCAAGCTCCTTCCCAACACCAAGAGTCCAGCCTAAGAAAGCAAGTTGTAAGGCTCCCAAATTAATTAAATATTCAAGCAAATCGGACTTGCATTTGGGAATGCACGAATGAAGGTGTGAATAGGAAATTCACCCAAACAGGTTAAAACTAAAACTGAACCATTAATATCCAAGAGAAGGATACAGCTGCTTTGCTATTCAGACAACTTTCTGATTCAATCCAATCTTTCTCATGTGCTTCCTGCTCTCCTAATAGGTCACTTGGTTTAGACAGTCTGGGATTTGCTTTCAGAGCAGGTGGATAAACTTACCTGTACCAATGGAGATTAAGATTTCAGCAGCCTGAAAGGTTTCAGCAACACATCTAACCTGTTGAGGATTTTCTTGCATTTTGAGGTTCATGCCCAGGCCTAGCCATCCTTTCTCCCAGTTCATTAGTGATGCCCACCAGGCGGGAGGTGCTTTGAGGGAATGAAAGTCCACCAGCTTCAAAAGAAAAGGGAATAAAAGTGAAGCCAGAAAGATTAACAGCAGCAATATAGGCAGAAACCTGGTAACAATGAGCTTGCCTCTCCATGGCCTGGCCAGAAAGAAGCAAGAAAATGTTGCTTCAACCCCTAGACCGTGTGCAAGGACAGGGTACACACTAATTGCTAAAACACATGTTAGAAGGTTAAAATTTTGAATAATTTCCTTGATTTTCTCTCACACTGAACTCAGAACAGTACATGCAATTTAGAGGGAAAAAAAACCTAAGTAAATATGATATTCTGCCAATGCTCTAATTTTACGTGTTAGCCAGGGATGAAGAAAGCTTGGGTACATGAAATTCACAGACAAACCTTACGTTTTTAAAAAGCAGACTTTATTGGTTTGAATTTCAGCATGTAAGGTATTTCTGCACCCACCCATGGTAGGGCAACAGTGAGAATAGCCAGAAGTCACGAAGGAGGAGGAGGCACAAAGAACATACACTAACTACAGACTGGATCGTCAGCCCTAAGAAATTGACTGTAGACCTCAAATAGTTCCTGCTATTTGAAATAATAATAAAATTTCCCATATGCAACCAGTCTAGGGCCTCCAGTCTAGTGCGGCATTCTTGGTGACATTTTCAAATTGTTTCATATGCCACAGTCCTCCACTGAGCAGGACAAAACACACCTCCGGGTGTCAAACACACATAGAATAGGTTTGAAAGACCACCAAGTTCAGTTCTTTCTCCCAAGTGTCCTCCCTTTGTGGAAACTTGAAGTAAATTTACAACCCCACCTAGTAATTCCAAAAGATAAAATCACATTTAAGCTACCCCTTGGCTTTAGAAATGTTTTTCTTCCAAGAAACTGTTCTTGCAATAGTAAAAAATGTTAAAGCTGACCACTCGTCCTTTTATTTAACAAGTATTTTTGAATCCTTCCTCCAGGCCACCATGCTAGACATGGAAAATACAAAGATCTGTTGATGTCTTTGAATAGCCTTGAGTCTCTTGTTCATGCAGACAAGATTAAGATTAAATGAATTAATCACAAAGTGCAGATGTACACCCTGTGCCTAAATCTTCCCCCTGGGTATTGGGAAGGCCTCACAGCAAAGGTGGAGCCTGAGCTGAGCAGCTGATGGTTGAGTGGGAGTTTATCAGATAACAGACAGGTGAATGGCATTTCAGAAGGAGGGACTAGAATGTTGCAAAGGTACCAGAGTGGGAGAGAATATGACAGTGGCTTGAGGAGAGTAAGTGGCACCAGGGTGAAGGTAGTACGTTGCATGCTGTAATCATGCAAGTGTTTTTCTGGAAGAGAACAAAGGCATAGTGGCAAAATTGAAGTGCATTTCTGTACTTAAAATTCAACAGATTTAAAGATAGTAATTCAAAGCAAAAGGAAATTAAAATATTTGAGCCGTTTCTTTGTGACACCTGAAAACAAATGCCAGGAGATTTATGAATTATTGTCTCTAGAATAAATCCTGTGTCTGCAGTCTGCCATCACTCAGGGATCCATGCTGGGAAGCCTCTGCACTTGGACAAATGCTCTGCTGTTGCTGTCTTAAAATTCTTTGGTACATTTTGAAAAAAGGGCCTTGGCTTTTCATATTCCACTTGTCCCCTAAAATCACATAGCTGATCCTGAGAGTAGAACATTTGCCGATAACTTGAAGTAGCTTAGTATTGTATGTAATATGGGAAGAGGGAGAAGTGGTAGATGAGGTGGACAGGTAGGCAGTGGCGTATATTGAAAGGCTTGGAGTCTTGCTAAGAATTTTAAATTTACCTGTAGGGTATAGAAGGTCAATGAAGAATTTGAGCAAGAAGTTGCAGGAAGAATGTGATGTTTTGATCACTCTGGTAATGAGGTGATAGAGTGGAAATGTAACAAAAACTTCCCCGTTTAAAATAGATGCGTTTTCCTTGTTTAAATTTCATTTCTTGGAATAAACTTTTGATACATGTTAAAATCCAAAAGTTTCTGCAAGGAATAATTGCTGCGATTAACTTACACCTTAGGGTAAATTAAGATAGCAAGATCTGTGAGGTCCTTTGAGAACTGGATGTAGGAAAGGGAGAACAGAAAACAGGAGGCAGAAGATTCTGTGTGCAGGTGGGCAGGCCATACAGAAGCTGGGCTTCTGGGGGAAAGCTTAGCCATCTCTTCATTATGCACTGGCCCAGCCTGATGACACATACAGATTTTTTTTTTCCAGAAATGGCCTTTTAGCATTCTCCCTGCCCATTTCTTATTGCAGTGTTTCTCAAAGTGTGGTCCCCAGGAAATCAGCATCTCTATCACCTGGAACTTGTTAGAAGTGCATTCTCTGCTCCATCCTAGTAGGACTAAATCAGAAACTCTGGGGCTAGAGCCCAGAAATGTGTTGTTATGATCCCTCTGGGTGATCATCAGGCAGCCAAGAACTGTTGCCTCATTGTAAATTACCTGTGCCTCTAGAACTCAGATATTATAAGAAAAAAGGTGAAATTGCCCATTTGGTATCAGAATGAATAATTAAAAGTGACTTTAATATTAAAAAAAAATTCAGTCTTGTTCTAAACATACTTTTACATGATTCTTGTTCTAAACATACTTTTTCAGCAAGTGATCTAGGGCATACATGGTTGCAAAATCTTCATAGGTGATAACGCCATAGTTCCAGAATGACTTTAAAAGGCATATATTACTGCATGAGTGATGAATCATAGCTTCTGCAGTTAATGGTGGTATTTAGCAAAACAAAATAAAGATGATTCTTTTCTTCTTAAGCAAGCATTGTCATTACATTGGAAGAATGTTTTATTTGTACCATCAGCTTGTAAAGGATTATGTCTGCTGATAGTGCTGGAATTTTTCATTTCTTTTTGCCTTACATTGCACCAGTAATAATGCAGCTATGATAATACATGTCCAAAGGTGACATGTGTTTACATAGCCTATAATGTTTCTGAAATGCAGTCTGATTTGCTGCTAAAACCAGCATTTCTCAGATTCTTTCCATTATCTTCCATGAGTAATCCAATATACAAGGAAGGATAAAAGAGTAAACACTTCCGTGATAATCCAAATTTTTCCAGTGGAATTTTAAACAGTTTGACAATTCAGTCTTGTTAAAAAGTGATATAAAATAAATGCTTCTCCACAAACAATTGTCCAGTAAATATTTTAATTCTGTCTCATATTCTCAGAGTGGATTGTTTTCTGAGTTTTTCAGTGAAATTCTTTCAAATTAGAGCTCAATGATCTTCTTTATTTATCCAAGGTTTGAAAGACATGAACCTGTCTCTACTTACTTGAACAATGGCCTCTATTGTGGTGTCTTTTTCTTTAAATCCAAATATTATACTCAGGGTTTTAGGAATTCTCTATCCCAAATACAGCCAATTAAATGGTCTATAAGTTATTCAGAACCTTAGAAAATGAAATGGGAGTTTGTACTTTGAACTGAGTTCAAAAATGTGTACCATTTGTCAAAACTAGTCTCTGTCGAATAGGCCTCATTATCCTCTGATTCTGCTGCTAACAGATGAAATAATCTGACACAGACTTCTGTAACAGAGATATTTCTTCCCAGGAGAAGTCTGGCCTTTCTCAGCAACTGGGAATCAAATTATTTACCCTGAAGATGGCAGAAAAAACATGATGCTTCTTGGTGCTATAATAAACTAGACGAAATTTAAAAACATCTCGTGGGATAAAAAAGAGTGGACATGGATATTTGCATTGTTTTCCATCAACCTTCAGGACTAACTGAAAGCTGATGGCCAGGGACTTCAGCACAAGAGAACACCGACTCTGAAACTTTGGAAAACCTGGAGGTGATGGCCTAGGAAGAGCTCAGACGCAAGGCCCCCCTCAGTGGCCTGGTCTGACGTTGACATCATAAATCTGAATTGAGACCAGAACCAAAGTGGTCGACATCCTTTACTTTTCAATTAATGCTCAGCCCAACCTCCTTCCTGCTGAACCTGAAAACCTGGGGACCCAGCCCACTCTATGATTCTGTGGTCCTGTTCCTCCTGTCTCCAAAACGATTATGAAACAAAGGAGGAAACAAGTATTCATTAAACGGTTTGCAGAAAGGGATGAAAGAATGATGGTCTCTTTCCGTAATCATTTCTCGAATATTTGAATAAATAAATCTTGAATTAGTAAACTTTCAATCAGCAAGAAGTCAATGATTGTGTGCAAGCACCTCTTTCATAAAGCAGAGAAGCTGGGGTCACAAATTCTCTTTTCTCCCCCAACTATACCCTCTCCCTCCTTTTGGCCAGGGGTAAGGGGTGTCAACTGATGCAGCTGTCTTCCTCTTCAATTAGTTTCTTGCCTGATATCTAAAGACCTAATCCTGTTATTGTAAATGTGCTCCTTGGTATATGGTTTATTTCCATGACCTTTGTTAGCATGTTACCAGCTCTGCTATCAAAGGTGTTAAACCTCAGAGCCTTCCCAGGTTAAGGATTTCCCATTAATTTTAGTTTCTGAAAACAAATTTCCAGGAGGGTAATGAGGCACTTACCACCAGATTATTTCTGTTGGTGAAAAGACATTTCTATTCAGCTTCCTATCTACAACTGCTGAGGCTATGGAAACTCGAATCTCTTTGGTCATCTTATTTTCTCTGAGGGCAGAGAGCTAAAAGAAGAGAGTTTTTTGTTCTAGAGAAAACACTTCCCCTTTAGACATTTTCTAACTATTGAAATGCATTTAAAAAAAAAAAACACTGAGTTTTTATGTTTTGAGATGCGCAAAAATATATATTTAAAAGTGAGGCTTTCTTCGGATGTGGTGCCCAGATGCATGCCTTCTTTTGAGCTCAGTTTGGCTGAGTACATTTTCCTATTCCTTAGTTAGACCAAGTGATAAAATACTTCATCAGTTAGTTTACTCTTTTTGTTTTTTGTTTTTTGTTTTTGTTTTTTTTGAGGCTGAGTCTCACCCTGTTGCCCAGGCTGGAGTGCAGTAGCACGATCTTGGCTCAGTGCAACCTTTGTTGCAACTCCCAGGTTCAAGCAATTTTCCTGCCCCAGCCTCCTGAATAGCTGGGGTTACAGGCATGCATCACCATGTCCGGTTAATTGTTTTTGTATTTTTAGTAGAGATGGGGCTTCACCATGTTGGCCAGGCTGGTCTCAAACTCCTGACCTCAGGTGATCCACCCGCCTCAGACTCCCAGCTGGGATTACAGGCATGAGCCACCACACCCAGCCAGTTTACCCTTTAATTCACATGCTATATAGAGGAGACTGGCCAGAGAAGTAAAATCATCTGAAAAAAGCTTTCCTTGGAAGTACTATCTAGACTAGAGAAAGAAATTTTAAGTTTGAATATTCATTTTGAAGGCTCAAGTCACCATTCTTAGCTGGTCTCTATTAACAGTAAAAGAAGTGCATCAACAATGACAATACCACTTGACCTTTATTGTGAAAAGCTCAAAGTTCTGTATGTCAGGTCTTAGATGGCCTCTCAGATGTGTTATTGTTTCCAATAACAGATAGAGAAACTGGATTTGCAAAGATATAAAGGGCCCAGAACAAATCATTCAATGGAGACAGAAGAAAACAAATTTCTCTCACTATTCAGTACCGTGCCTTTTAATATACAGAGTAATTCCCAGTATAAGATTGGTAAGCATGGCTGCAAACAATGTAATTACCCCTTAGGGAGCATGGATAGATACATAATATAAGCATATTCATTGATTAATGAATGTCACAGAGTACTCACTGCAAGCCAGGTGTTGCTCTAGGCAGACAGGAGTCAAGTCCCTAATGCCCCAAGGAGTTTACACTCTGGCAGGGAAGACAGAAGACAAATCAAAATGTCCTCCCATCACGGAATCACACATTCACCTAGACCTTATGAAGTTGGGTGTAAGTAAATAACTGGGGTGACTTGGAGAAGCTAGAATATTTATATTGGAAATAATGGGAATTGAGGTTGGGAGCTGAAAAAGGAGGGAAAGCTTCAGAGGATACTAGAGTGATAGATATAAAAAGTGGTGAAGTTAGGGGAGAATGAATTTGTACAATGTTTTGCTGCTTTTCTATGGTACAAAAATTCACTTTCTCCAGTCCCATTTTGAACTGTTTTCAGAGAAACTGAGTAAAAATATGAATTAATTCAAATTACCTTTTTAGTTGCTTATTGGAGTGTGTTTCCTATGGGATGGGATCATGACACCTCCTGGCCCCAGCCTGTCTGCCACAACCTTGTTCTGTCTGTGAAATAATCCCATGCATTCGGGTGTTTCCACATGAAAACATTCTCAGTGGAAGCCGAGGAGAAAAGACAATGGGAACATTTCTCA